GGTTGTGTCTGGCAAATGATGGCAAAGAAGCCTTTGGGCCACCCAGTGGGGCAGCACAGGTGTGTGGCTGTCGCTGCTGTAGAAGGGGCCCACTCAGCCAAGTGTTTCTGAGTCAGTGGCATCAAACCAGTGGCATTTCACCTTAATTTGGACCCCCAGTAGTGCTTAAAGTGCCTTTGAGAAGCTCCCAGTGACGCAGCACAGAAAGTGAAGAAATGCGACTGTCACCTGCCAGGCCGTGCAGCTGAAGGACTCGAAATGGCCAACTCCCCAGGAATAGCACGCAGCCTGCCAAGGCTGGGAGAGGCTCCTGCCACCAGAGCTCGCTTCTCCAGGACTGTCCTGCTTCACCTGATGGTATGGCCTTGGGCAAATCACTGGACCTCGATAAATTTCATTTCTTCTCAGGAAGATGGAATGGTCCCTGAGGAGATGTCATGAGGCTTAAATGAGAGAATTCATGCAAAGCAAGTAGGGGGCTGCTCCCCGGGCCCCTACCCTGGCCAGGGTGAACCTCCAGTAACACAGAGCCTGGGAGACTCATGGAGAATGCCACCTTCCCGCCTTTGCCTCCCTGGACCTCCTGGGACAGCCCCCTGGCCACCAGGTCCTGCTCTCCGATGTCCTCATCTACTGGACACCCCGTCCCCAGCAACCAATTCTCCCGTGCCCGGCCCGGGAGCTTCTCCTCTAGGTCACAGGTCAGATGGTCCAGGAAGCCTGTCCGCCATCTTTGTGTCCCTAGGGTGCAGTCCAGGGCCTGGCACATAGCAGGTGCTGAGGACAGGTTTGTGGAAGGAGGCAGGGAGGGCAGGGGCCCCACCCCAGGGCCCTTGGGGAAGCTTCCCCCACCCCTATCCCCAGCCCACCCCCAGGCAAAGGCTGCTCCCCCCCACCACCATCTGATGAGCCCCCGGAAGCACTTAGTGTCCTCGCAGGCTTCCGCTGAGCGCCATGACCGCCTGCCCTCCTCCCCGCACCAGCAGCTCTGCAGAGCCGGGGCCTGGGTCTCATGTACCCCTGCATGCCCCTCGCTGGCTCCGGCCTGCACGTGGAGGGTGTGCGCTGAGTTGAATTAAATTGAGCTGGGCGAGAACATGAGATGAGACGGACGTGCACACGGCAGCTCCCGACTATGCAGCCGCGGCCGTGGGGCAGGATGGGAGGTGAGCAGGCCACCCCCCACTGACCCCTCCGTCGGGCTGAATAGACTCGGGGCAGGGTGGGGGGCGACCATGGAGGCAGTTGTTTGTCCCCTCGCCCCCAAACCCTCACGGAGCCTGTGAGACGCGCCCCTGCTCGTGCAGGACAAGGGGCAGGGCCCACGTGCTTGGTCCCCACGACCTCTGCAGCTTCAGTGCCTGGTTTTGTCCCCATCAAGCGGCTCACCCCATGGGAGGAGACGGGCAGCCTTGGCAGCCCAAGACGCTGCGCCAGAGTCTTTAGGCGGATTATCTCTGCTGGTCGCATGCTTGGATTTGGTGAGGCGCAGACGCACAGCGAGGGTAAAGGGGCTTCCTCATGGGACCCAGATAGGGAGTGGCCAGGCACGGTTTGAACCCAGATGGGCCAGCTCCAGCTCCAGCTCCAGCTCCAGCTCTGGCTCTAATAAACTCCGCCCTGCTGCTTCCTGGTCCTGGGACCCTCTTTGCCACCCTCTTCCCCAGGCTCAGGCACTTCCTCCCACGGCCACCCAGCGTGGGTGCGCTGGCCACACCACCTGCCCCCTTGGCCCACCCTCCTCGGGCCCCTGCACCTTCACACTGCAGGCTGGAAAGTGAATCTCCCTCCCACGCTGTCCCCTAACAACTAACTGTACCTCCCCTCCCCCGGGCTTTTTCTTTCCCGGCAGCAAAGTGTGACAGCAAGAAGCCCACTTTGGGGTCAGACAGGCCTAGGGTTTGGGTCAGTTCATCAACATTTATTCAGTTCCTTCCATGTGCCAGGCATGCTGTGACCTTGGACAAGTCTCTGGACCTCTCTGAGCCTCAGTTTACCAATCTGAACCTAGGTATAAGAATACTAGTGACCCTAGTATAGAATACTAGGACAGTACGTATGGCTTTACCAGTGGATGTAAGGTGCCCAGCACGTGCCAGGAGTCAGCAAGCGCTGGTTCCCTGCCCTCCTCCCTGCAGGCCTGAGATCCACACAGAAAGAAGTAGGGAAGATGGAACCGGCATTACCTACTTGCCTTAAGGTTGCAGAAACTGAGGCCCAGTGACATGCCCAGAGGAACACCTTGAGTTGGCCATGGAGCCCCAGGGTGCCCAGGTTCCCCAGTGCCCGGCTCCCGGCCCTGACCCTGGACCCCAGGCTGAGTGACTGCTTCCCCCTTAGTTGTCAGGAATCCCCGTCGCCCCAGCAGCACAACACGGAGGCCGGAGGTGAGCATGTATGTTCAGCTTTATTTCTTTCCATGCTAAGAAATACAGAGGCGTCACTGGTGCATGTGTTGGTGGTTTGGGGGGGGGGTTGCGGGGGGACAGTTCTTGCTGCTCCCTATGGGATATGGGGAGAGGCTGGGGCAGGAACCACTGTCTTCACACAACTGGTGGCTGGATCCAAGCTGGAGCTGGGACAGCAATGCCACTGTCCCCTCCAGCCTCCACTTGGCCTGGAGATGCCAGGCTGCCTGGGGAAGGGGCTGTGGGGACCCTCCCTCACAGTCTCCTGGCGTCCAGGATGGCTTTCTCCTCCAGGGTATGGAGCCTTCCTCCTGCCCTGTGCTCTGGGGCCTCTGAGTTTTGTCCCTGGCACCACCAGGAAGCTCTCAAGCCATCCTTGCCTGAATGTTCCAGCTGTGCCCATTCCTGGCATCTGCAGGCTTCACCTAAGCAGGGCCTTCGGCTGTCCTGGTTTGGAGTGTGAATGAATGAAGGTGTGTGTGCACGCGTGTGTGAATGCAAAAGGAGTGCATAGCAGAGGCTGTTTGTGTGGCTGTGACCGCCGAGGCCAGAGAAGGTCTGGGTGTGCTGCGCTCTGTGGCCACACAGGCTGCACACAGAGTCCCTCCTCTGCACTGTTTTCCCCGTGTGACTGTCACTCAACCATCCAGTTTGCTTCTCTCTTCTCCCTGGGTTGCTGAAGCTGGGGACCCCTTGGCCTGCTGGAAGACTGCCACTCATGTCCTCCCCTCCCTCCTTCCAGAGTTGGAGCTGTGAGCGGCTAACTCCAGAGACCTCTGCCAACCCTGGCCGGGCCTGACTTCACCAGTGACACAAGTACCTGGGCTCACAGACCCCTCCCTGCAACAAACAGGGCATCTCTATTTTGGCTCAAAGATCCCATAAAGTAAACCCAACCAGTCCCTGCTTTAGGACTGGGAGAGGCTGGAGCTTATTTCCCAGGTGGGGACAGACATCAGAACACTGGTGCCAAAGGATCCACCCAGTACCCATGGGCCCTGCGCCCCTGCCCTCCCGGTGGTCACACGGGCCCTGTCCTGAAGGCTGAGTTGCAGCTGCACGCAGGACCCAAAGCCCCTCCTGGCAGGCAGAGCCTCTGTACCGACCCACTCTTCCTCCAGGCAGCCACTGAGGAGGGTGGGTGTGGCGGGCAAGGCCTTGGGGCGGAGGCACGAGGGTCCTGATGGGGTGCAGGGGACACAGGCTTTGCCAGCCTCAGGCCAGTCTGGCTGTGGATGGGAACCTGCCATCCAGTGTGGGGAGTGATGTGGTGGGGCCTCACAGGGCAGGAAAGCCGGGAGTGTCCCTCCCCAGGGTCTGGGGGCTGAAGCCGCAGGGCAGGCAGGAGCAGGTCAGGCCCCTGTGGGTACAGCGGTGCCAGGGAGAAGTCTGGGCAGAATCGGGCTCAAAACCAGGGAGGAAGGCCCTGCCTGATTCCTTTCCCATTAGGTCCTAAGACATAGAGGCCACAGCGTCCAGCCCCTGCCTCTGGGCACGTGAGTGTACCCCCAAATCTGGGGCTCCCCACTTGCTTGCAGACTGGACCCTTCAGCTAAGCCCTTCCCTCTGTCTTGGGACTCTCTAGATCCTCAAACAACAAATCTTCATAAAAACTCTCTGCCACACTCCCGTGCAGGTGGCACCCCTAACAGTCTGGGAGCCCATGGGAAGTCCCCCCAGGGGTGGTCCCAAAGCAGCCTCCGGAGAAAGCTTTTGCTGTTTGTGGATGGCCAAGGACACAGGGCCAAGCACAGAGCATCAGATGGGGCTAGGATGGGAGCCTGAAGCCATGTCCCACCTCTGCATGGGGTCCCCCAAGCCACTCTGCATAGGGCCCCAGGTTTGTGCCGCAGACCACAGAGGTGACCATGGCAAGACAAGAGCTCAGATCCCAGCCCCTCCCCACTGACTGACCTTGGGCAGGGCAGGTCTGGGAGTTCTTGGTTAGTGCCCCAGGCTGTAGCACAGGTGGGAGGCAAGAGGCAGACTGGGCTGTCCTGGAAGATGGGCTGGGACCAGAGTCCTCAGCAGGGATGCTCCTGAGCTGAAAAGTTTGGAAAGAGGCCCACGGGTCATGCTGTCCCTGTACCTGTCTCCACCAACATTCCTCTTGGTGCCTACACCTTGCCACGGAGGATTGAAGTGTGGCAGGTGCCTGTTTGCAGGGGTAGCTGCACACCCCATGTGCCCGAGGGCATCCAGGGCCTGTGCTGAGGGCAGCTCCGCCCCCCTGAGCCTGGGCACTGGCTGGGATCGCAGCAGGCATGTGGCACAAAGCACGCGAACAGTCTGTTTCCTCCCCCCTCCAGAAAAATACAAAAGGTAAAGTCCCACGTCTTTGCTCCTGGTCCATAGACACCAGGGAACTGTGCTGCTTCTTTCCCCAGCAAAGTTTGTCTTGTTCGTGGGGCTGGTTTTCTTCTAATTCGGGCAGTTTGTGCTGCTTGGGAGAGCCCAGGAGATCGTGGGGGTATAAAACAAGCCAGAGCACTGGGGTCGAAATGCTGGGATGTTGTGTCCATGAAATTAAACCACATTATTCTTGGTTTCACAGAAAATTTTCCTCCCTCCCTCCTCCTCCCTTCATTCTCTCTTCCTTCCTTCTTCCAGATTTTCCCATCTGTTGTGGGCTGACATTGAGGTGACTTGGGGGTTTCCCTCCAAGTTTGTGCTTTTGGAGCTTGGGGACAAGTGGACACTTGGCAGTCCCCACCCTGTCCTCTGTGGTGTGTGGGTGTGTGTGTTCAGAGCCTTCCAGCTGGCCAGGCCTGCCTCTGTTGCCTCCGTTAGCACAGCTCCCCGGTTAGTGTTATTTCTTCTGAACTGTAAAGAGAAGAACAGTCATGGCAGAACAGAGCTCAGAACATTGGCTCTTCAAGTCCCTGACTTGAGGATTTGGGTTTGTGTTTCCTAGTGGCAAATGGTAACAGGGATAAGGTACAGGGTCAGGGGGCATCTTTGGTTTGGGGCTCTTGGTGGAACTGAACTCCTGCCAGTGAGAGGACTACAGCCTTGGTGATTGGTTCACAGGTGGGCATGTGACCCTAACGGGCCAATCAGAATCAGTCCTGGGACTTTTGCTGTAACTGTTGACAAAGAGGCACTTTGTTTCCCTGTTTAGTTACCGGACTGATTACAATGTGTGCCACGCTTAGGGCCACTGTTAGAGCTGCTGGTTGCCATGTTGCCAGCAAAAGGAGAGATCCTGCCTGGGAATGCGGCCGACACAGCAGAAAGAAGGACAAGAGACTTAGACAGATTCTCGTCAGCATTGTTTGAGCACCTAGATACAGCCATGGCTAAAGATAGAGCAACCTGTGCTTGAATTTTTTAGTGAAAGCTAACAAATTCCCTTTGCCAATTTGAATTCAGTAGCTGCCACTTGCCATGGAAAGAGTCCTGGCTAAATGACAAGCAGCAGCAGGGTGAAGGAGACTGAGCCATTTGCAAGGTGACACTGAAGCTAATGTCCTGGGCCAGTGGACTTCTGCTTTGCGAATACCTGCGTGTCAGGCAGACTCTGCACTGGTGGAGGAAACTAAGGCTCAGAGACATCATGGAACATGCTTCAGTTCACACAGCTAGGAAGTGCAAGGCCTGGACTCGGAACCCAGGCAGGCTGGTTACACACCCAGGCTCCTCCCTGTCCTAAGTGGCCGAGGTTGCTCACTGTCCACTTAGCTGCATCCGAGGTTTTCTGCCCCCAAGCCGAGCACTCCACACTCTAGACCAGTGATGCCCAAACTTTGACAACTGGGTTGGGAATCTTATTTTTATTTTTATTTTTTTAATTAATTTTAATTTTTTTTTTTTTTTTTGAGACAGAGTCTCACTCTGTTGCCCAGGCTAGAGTGAGTGCCATGGCATCAGCCTAGCTCACAGCAACCTCAAACTCCTGGGCTCAAGCAATCCTACTGCCTCAGCCTCCTGAGTAGCTGGGACTACAGGCATGCGCCACCATGCCCGGCTAATTTTTTCTATATATATTAGTTGGCCAATTAATTTCTTTCTATTTATAGTAGAGACGGGGTCTTGCTCTTGCTCAGGCTGGTTTCGAACTCCTGACCTCGAGCAATCCGCCCACCTCAGCCTCCCAGAGTGCTAGGATTACAGGCGTGAGCCACCGCGCCCAGCCTAGGAATCTTATTAAAATGTGGATTCCCTTTCAGTGGGTCTGGGATGGGGCCTGGTTCTGCATTCCTGACACATTCCCAGGTGACCCCTGCTACAGGTCCGTGGGGCACATATTGAGTTGCAAGGTGTTTAGGGGAAAAGCTTGGGTTGATCCCTGGCATGGAGAGATGCTTAGGGAATTCCCAGCATGAGTGGGTGGAGGGAAGGAGATTGAAAGTTCTGACATGAATAGCCCCAACCTCACGAAGCCACATGGGCCTCATGAGCAGCCAAGGGTCCCCTTTGAAAATGGTTGCCCTTCAAGCCTATAATCCTAGCACTTTGGGAGGCTGAGGTGGGAGAGTTGCTTGAGCTCAGGAGTTCGAGACCAGCCTGAGCAAGAGCGAGACCCTGTCTCTACTATAAATAGAAAGAAATTAGCCAAACAACTAAAAATAGAAAAAATTGGCCAGGCACGGTGGCGCGTGCCTGTAGTCCCAGCTACTCGGGAGGCTGAGGCAGCAGGATTGCTTGAGCCCAGGAGTTTGAGGTTGCTGTGAGCTAGGCTGACGCCATAGCACTCTAGCCCAGGCAACAGAGTGAGACTGTGTCTCAAAAAAAAGAAAAGAAAAGAAAAGAAAAAATGGTTGCCCTGCTTGGATAACTTCACTGGGCCACCTTTGGTGCCCACAGAAGTGCAACTTCCTGAATTGCACCACATGCAGTTTGCATCTGGTGTATCCTGACGTTCCCCCAGAGATGTTTATGTACCGAGCCCACAGTTGACAGAACACAATCGCATCGATTATCTCGGGTGATGCTCACAAAAGCCGCTGTGCTGGAGGCTCCTTCCTGCCACTTTGTACCTGGAAACAGTGAGGCTCAGCCAGGCAGGACGCTGGCCCAGGTCCCAGGGCCATCAGAGCCAGCCACTGGGCCTGTGCTCTTCCCACACGCTTCTCTGTTGATTCACTCTTGGGCATAAGACAAGTCAGCAAAACAGCCCCACTCAGCCGGTCACTGCCGGGCGCTGGGCCGCTTCCCTGGAGTGAGATGCTAAGGCTATGGCCTCAACCCCCACCCTGTCCCCCGGGGCCGAGCAAGCTGACTCCCTCCGGGCCAAGGGGCTGGGCCTCACCTGCGAAGTTGACGGTCACAGCCACGATGATGATGATAATGCCCATGATGATGAAGGTGATGCTGAGCAGCCGGGCCAGGCGGCCCAGCCTCCGGGCCCCATCCAGGTCCCCCTGCTGCACGCTGCTTCGAGACTGCGGAGAGAGGATGGCAGAGACCTGTCAGCTACGCTGGCCTCGGCAGCCCTGGGGCAGCCCTAGCCTGGGCCCCCAACACACCCTGTCCCCACTGCGGCCCGCACTGCAGCAGCCCCCCTCGGGGAGAGGAAGAGGACCTCTCGTGGGGACCTGTAACCAAGCCCCGCCCTCACCGCCAGAGACTGCCGGGAGCAGAACCAAGCACTGCAGGGCACTTCCTCAGGAAGGCGACAGGGCAGGGTGGCGTGGCAGGTGGAGGCCCGAGAGGATGGACCAGGTCCAGGCCAGCTGGCAGGAGCAGACAGGCCCGGCCCCTGGGGACCCCAGCCCCAGGCTCAATTCTGCAGCCACCCTGGGATGCCCTGGGGCTCTTCCTACAGCCTGATGTGCCTGTCTCCTTCTCTGCAAGCCCCCTCTTGCCACGAAGGAGAAAAAGGGCACTGTCTTCCCCGCCTCTGTTTCCCATCCAAGACCCACGTCCTTGCTCAGCCAAGCTCCCTTTCCAGATCACACAGGGAAGGTGGGGTGTCTTGGGACTGCCAGGGAAGGCTGGGGCCGGGGCAGGGGCCATGGCTTCGCAGGGCCGGGTTTAGGTATTGCTCCTTCCCAGCAGGCTCTGCTCTTCTTGGACACAGGTGATCAGGTGGATGAGGGCGGGGAAGGAGAGTTTAAAGACAGACAGGGTCCTGGGAGGGTGCCTTGGCAGGAGGTGTGTCCCCAGCATCTCCAACGGTGGCCCTGTGCCCCTGCCTATGATGCTCAGGGCCCACCTGCTGGCCAGGGCTGGCCCCAAAACCTCTGGATTCCTCCAGCTCTTGAACTCCCTTTTTTCTCCTCGGACTCCTTGGACTCACCCAGCCTGCCTCGGAAGGGACCTGGAAGGGGTCCCCAACAGTGTGGCTGTTTTCAGGGCCTCAGGGCAATCATTGGCTGATTTTATTTTCTGATTGTTTGAGGCTCCTGAGTTCAGCATGGAAATGTAGTTAAGTATGATGAGGATGACAATGCTAACGACAATGACTTATTGAGCCCTTACTTTGTGCCAGGCAGCTTGCTAAGGACTGTACCTAAATTATTTCATTTAGCCTCAGAACCATCCTACGAGCTTGGCGGTGCTGCCCCAATTCCCTGGTGAAGCAGCACCTGGGGTTCAGAGAAACTTCCTCTCTGTTCTCTCACGCAGGTGCCCCTCCTCACTCCCAGGGCCCTGTCCTCTTCACCTCTCAGGTTCTAACAACCCCCGCCCCAACAAAAACTCCCTGTGCTCCTTGCCCATGTGTCTCCTCCACTGGCCCAAGCCCCAGGTACTGGCACCAGCCTGACTCCTTCCTCTTGGTGACGGCTCCTCTGCCATCCCTCCTGCCACCGAGCCTCCTGTCCTAGTCCACTCCAGAGCTGCTGCCCTCTCTAACTTCTTGCACCTGCCCTCGTTCCAAGCGCCACTTCTCACCCGAGCGGTGGCAGCAGCCTCCAAAGATCCCCCAGCTGCCATCTCTGTTCTTTCTAGTCCTCACACCACCACTTCACACCACAGATGTTCACACCAGGCCCCGGTGCGAGAGCCCCAGTGCCTGTGCTCTGGGCCCCGGTCGCGATCACACAAAGGTGAAATTGTAACTGTGGACGGGGTGACACAGGAGAGGCGCATGGTGCTATGAGAGCCCTAAAATGGAAGAGTCAGGGAGGACTTCCTGGAGGAAGGACATTTGAGTTGAGATGTGAAGGATGAGAAAGGAAGAGACAGATCTTTTTTCGAAAGGAAGAAGAGTGTTCCAGGCAGGGGGACGCCAGGCGCAAAGGCCCTGCGTGGCTGGTACGTAGCGGTTCAATAAACAGTTGCTGACTGAGGAAGCAGGTGGGACTGGATGGAGGCCAGTGTGGCTGGAGCTGACAGAGGGAGGAGGAGAAGGTGGGAAAGGGCGGGAGAGGGCGACATCCAGGAAGCCCAAGATGGCAAGTGTCAAGGAGGGGTTAGCTGGTGGCGCCATGTCATGCACACAGGTAGAGTAACATAAGGACTAAAACTAAACTATCAGACGATGCGAGCACGTACACATCCTTGGCAGGAGAGGGTCAGAGGAGTAGCGGGTGTAGACACCAGAATGGAGGGGTATGTACAACAGTGGGGGACAAGGAAGTCCAGATGGCAAGTGGCTCTCAGGAGCTTAGCTGTGACTGGGGAAGTGTGATGGCAGAGTAGCAGCTATGGCCAAGATGAGCCGGGGATTTCTTCAAGATGGGAGAGGAAAAGCCCTACCAAAGAGGGAGAGGGTGATGAGATGAGGAGTGATTGGAGCCACAATGTCCCAGGGCAGCAGAGAGAGGCTGAGGTCTGGACTGGAGCCCAGGGAGGACCCGGGGACAGAGGAGGAAAGCACTCCTGGGGACTGCATGAAGGCAGGTTCAGGTGGGCTCACACCTCGACAGGTCTGTAGGTGAGTCTGGGCACAAAGTTGTAAGGTCCTCAGGGTCCTTAGTGACAATGGACCGATGTCAACCAGTTAGAGGAAAGAGAAAGTGGATCTGGCTTGAGGAGGAGGCACAGGTGGGGCTCAGGCTGAGACTCACAAGTCTCATGGAGGGGACACATGCAGGAGCAGGTGTGATCTCTAGCCTCCCAGCAGGGCGGTAGGATAGGAGCACAGGTTCAGCAGCCAGGCCACCACCACCATTTACTAGCTGTGCAACCCTGGACAAGGGACTTGCCTTTTCTATGCTTCAATTTCCTCCTCTGTAAAATTAGAATAAAAATAATACCCATGTCGCCAGGATATTGTGGGGATCAAGTGATATAACACAAGTAGAGAGGCTTAGCCTGCCGCCTGGCAATAGGAAGTGCCTGTACTGTGTTTCCCCGAAAATAAGACCTACCCATAAAATAAGCCCTAGCAGGATGTCTAAGCATTTGCCCAATATAAGCCCTAGCCCGAAAATAAGACCTAGTGACGGGTGTGGCTACGCAGCGCATCCGCACAACCCATGCATTTCGTTGTGGAGCAGTATAGAAGATGAGCAGCCCTTCTCATCTGCCCTGTGAGAGCTCTATTGCTCGACATGAGAGACTGGGGCCAATGGTTCTAAAGGAAATAGAGTCGCAAGAAATTCAGGACAGAATTTGGGGTTTGGAGAGTTATGATGATGTTCCAGAAGAAGACAACTTCACTCTATGTGAATAAATGTAGATTGTTGTACCGCACTTAAAAAACAAAAACATGTCCTGAAAATAAGCCCTAGGGTGTCTTCTTGAGGAAAAATAAACATGAGACCCTGTCTTACTTTTGGGGAAACGTGGTAAGCATTGTGATGTTACAATGTTTTTGTTATCAGGTGAGTCCCTTCCCTCTGTTGAGTCTGAGAAGGAAAAAGAACCACAAGGCACCCACCCCAGCAGAGGAGGAGGATCTGCTCTAGAACAGTCAGCTCGGTAGACCTTGGTGAAATTGCTGAGAGCATCCCTTTCACCTGCAGGAAAGTTCCGGTTAGGATGGTAGTGATATGTTCACGCTGTGCCCAGGAACCTACCACTCCTCCTTCCTCTGTATTTCTTCCTTCTCTCCCGTCCACCCAGTCTGATTGTGATGGGAGGCTGTGGGAGGCTCCTCCTGGTTTCCATCCTCCCCATGAAGCATGGTGCTTCTGCCACCCTCGCCTTTAACCCCCCACCGCCTGCAGGGAGCAAAGCTGCTCACTCTGGCATGCATTGCAGGTGCTTCCCTTTCCAGGAGAGAATCCTGGTATTTCCACTGCTGGACTGCCTCTCTGTCTCCCCCAACCCTCACCTACAATTAGGTATGAATTCCTGGCCGTCTCACCTCTCTCATGTCTGTCCCTCATGTCTGTTCCTGCCTCTCCAGGCCACGTCTCAATTTGTCCATCTGGAGGTTTCATCAGCGGCCTCCTTCCTGGTCTCACTGTCCCAGCCTCGTCACCTTGATATTATAGCCAAGGTGAGATCTTTAAAAAGCCAAGCCTGGTTGTAGGACTCCCCATGAAAGGGATACACTTTTATGCCTCGGTGCCTTTGCACGTACTATTCTCCCTGCTGAAATGCCTTTCCTCATCGCCAAATCGCCACCTCGACAGCTCCGCTTTGTCCTTCAAAGTCACCTTCAGAGTCCCCTCCAGTAAAACCTTCCTGGGTTCCTACAGACAATTAATCAGCTTCTCCTTGGGGCTCCCAGAGCCTCTTGCACAATGCATCGTTTCTCCTTTGCCGCCTTGCATCATTGTTTCTTGTGGCTGTGTCGCTCTCCTTCTCTAGACTGTGAACTCCTCGACAGCAGGGACCATGCAGCCTCCACCCTGGTATCCCTCACATCTAACCTAGGGCCAGGCCCTGGGAGGTTCTCACAGTAAGTTCTCAGCAAGAAAAGAATAAACGGAGAGAGAAAAAGAACAAGAGGAAGGTCTGTTTTCTAACCACAGAATTTAGTCAGTGGAATGTTCAAAGTTAGTCGAAGATTCTTGAAAGAAATAAGGGCCGGCTGGGTGCAGTGGCTCACGCCTATAATCCTAGCACTCTGGGAGGCCGAGGCGGGCAGATTGTTTAAAGCTCAGGAGTTCAAGACCAGCCTGAGGAAGAGTAAGACACTGTCTCTACTAAAAATAGAAAGACGGCCGAGCACAGTGGCTCACATCTGTAATCCTAGTATTCTGGGAGGCCAAGGTGGGTGGATTGTTTGAGCTCAGGAGTTCGAGACCAGCCTGAGGAAGAGCAAGACACTGTCTCTACTAAAAATAGAAAGAAATTAGCTGGACAATTAAAATATATAGAAAAAAACTAGCCGGGCATGGATGTACGTGCCTGCAGTCCCAGCTACTCGGGAGGCTGAGGCAGATGAATCACTTGAGCCCAGGAGTTTGAGGTTGCTGTGAGCTAGGCTGATGCCATGGCTCTCTAGCCCAGGCAACAGAGTGAGACTCTGTCAAGCAAGCGAAAGAAAGAAAGAAAGAAAGAAAGAAAGAAAGAAAGAAAGAAAGAAAGAAAGAAAGAAAGA